GTAGGATTAATTTGTGAACACAGTAAGTAGGGCTTCTCTCCTTTACTTAAGTCAGTAAAAATATTGAGGTCATTCATCTTTATAGATGAAGATCCAATACACAATTGCATGATTGGTATTAGGAGCCTAGAATTATGAGTTTCCTGAAGTGGTTATGAGAGAGAGAGAAATAAATAAAAAACTATTATAAAGAAATATTTTTTCCCCCCTAGGAATTTAAAGGATACTGAAGTACATGAAGTCAGTAACTTTTGAGGAACACATTACAAAACACCCAACTGTCATAAACTTTAACTTTGATTCAATGTACATTTCTGCATTTAGCAGATGCTTTTATCCAGCGCATGTCTTCAGTGAGAAAGAGGTGTTATGTATACAATTTTATTGTAGGCCTACAGTGTGTCTAACAGGAAAATAATTATGTTTTCATAGAATATTAATGCATTTCACTGTTTACAGTAGAACTGTAACAATTATATTTGCAGGTCAAATCATAAAAGCAGTATGGCACTAGTTAAGGTAATGCTGTATTTGCACTTCTGTAGAGACTTAAGAGACTAACCCTAACTAGTATAGCTAAAACAAGTAGTATAGCTAGATCCTCTAAACCCAGGTAAGTGGGCACACATTAGAGAAGGGTTTAGTGATTTGTGCCAGGATTTTACCAATAGAGGCGCTATTGCAGGAGGAACTGAGCATCTTCATAGGTGCCAAAAATCCCCCTTCCAAATATCTATAATACACACATCCTTAATATATCTTAATTTGATTTAGCAAAGCTGGTGTTATGCAAGATAATAGAAACTGTAAGTAGAAACCTCACTTAATAATACTACAACATTTGTATGGGTGTTCTGGCTTTTACTGTACAAAACTTGCAACATTTTCAGTTTAATTCAGATTAATTAGAGCTACAATACTCCCATTTAGAGTGAATTGCCAGAAACCACTAGTAAAAATCTAAATGCACAGACTGAGGATAAAATTAACTCAATTTGATTTCAGTTCAGCAAAAACAACATCAGGATCCGAGTGTGAGCACATCAAAATCTGCATAGAAATATGTTGTACGTAGATGGAGCAGATTTGAACGCCACAGTACTGATATTCTATTTTCTACTTAGTCACACAGATTGTATTATATGAACATATTATAGGAATCTGACATAGTCACGTTATTTTTTCATGAATGTGATTTTAGGATTTCGATGCAGCGCTAAAAAACCTACGATGATTTCTTACAAACAGGCAGATTATGTGTTTATATATTTTACAAATCAAATACTGACTGCATCTGCAAAATGCTTATGAGTGACTAAGAAAAACAGAAAAATGCAGCTTATGTCAGTTATTGTTTGCTTTATTAAAATTTTTGCGGACCTTGTTCTTAAAATCATATAATGCTATATAAAGCTGTCCTTTGAACTGAACATCAGAGCTCTATGTATCCTAATAACTGATTAATTTCACAGTGCTTCATTCTCGGCTCATTCTAGATATTTTTAACAGAGTTTCACCGTTTCTCTGTTAAGCGTTTCATACACAATTCACATACTATCTGTTCAAGTTACATTTTTCTTTTAAAAAAAATAATAAATCTATCCACTTTTAATAACTCCACTTCACCGTCTTATGTTTCGATGGCATGTACAAGTCATAGTCTTTATTTTCACATGATAATTTTAAAAGATTAACAGATGGTTTTCAATAGCATGCTAAAACACCCCACAAGGAGCGAAAACTGACACTTTCATTCAACAAAAGCTATCAATATATTTACAGAATAAAGAAATTTTCCACCGAAGACAGAGATCTGAACACAAGTTAAAACTTGTTAATGTTTTGAGTAGCTCAGGGACCGGAAACATTTCCCAAGGTTCCTTGAGGAACTGAGAATGACTTGAAAATTATATTTACAAGTCCAAAAAAAAAGAAAAAAAAAAGACTCCCAGTCTTGTAAGTCTCATCAACCTTTTTAATGAAAAAAATAAAAAATGTATTTTCGCTTCAAGAGGATCCTGAAGATTATATGTATTGCACTAGTCTATGGTCATCCAAGTCTACTACTACACAGGTCTCAGGTCTTCTCTTTTGACGTAATCAGAGGGCTTTTCGTGACTTTTGCTCTTCTTGTTCTGGTGCGTCTTCACATGTTTGGCCAAATGGTCGCTCCTCATGAACCTCTTGCAGCAGTCCGGACACACAAAGCGTTTTTCCCCGGTATGAGTTCTCAGGTGCCTCTGTAACTCGTCCGATCTGGTGAAGCTCTTCCCACAGAAGAGCCAGTTACACACGAAGGGTCTCTCTCCCGAGTGCCAGCGCAGGTGCGCCTTCAGGTGGGACGTTTTGCCGTATACTTTCCCGCATCCGGGGATGTGACAGATGTGCTGTTTCTTTTTCCCGGGCTCGTCGCTGGAGCTGGACGACTGACAGTTAGGACACCGGCATCTCCGGCAGCGCCTGGCGGTGGCCAGGGGGGATTTGGTGTGGAGGAGGGCTGCGATTTGAGTCTGGTACTGTGCAAAGTCTGTGTGTCCCAACACCAAGCCCCTCTGGATGGGGAAGCGGTGGGGGCCGAGGCTCGCCGGGTGGCTGACGTGGTTTCCTTGCTGAAGGCTCCACCACGGTATATCCTCCCCGGGGTTTGGAGACAGCTGTCTCTGCTGCTGATGGACAAGGCCTGAGTGTCCCGGGACGAAACCGGGCGGGATGGGGGGCGGCGCTGCGTAGGTGACGGCGGGCACGTAGGTCGGCGGGCAGCTTGACTGTAACGACTGCATGGAGCATGGCAACATCTTGACCGGAGAGAAGTCATAAGGATAGGTGGGGTCGGCAGGAGGGGTTAGGGGGAGCTCGTGGTGGGTGGTGTAGGAGCCCTGCAGGTGAGATTTGGAGGATAGTCCAAAGGAAGAATTGTTGGAAAGCGAGGGCTGGGGATTGGCCTCGTTACTCCAAGGGTGGAAAATCCGTGTCGGAGACCCGAGGGTCGTGTCGTAGGGAACTTGAATAAAGTCCGTGGGTGTGGATCCGTGATGATGACCGATCCGGTTACACGTCGCCGCTAGAAGCGCCAGAGGAGAGTGTTTGCTGTTTTCCGGCGAGGAGTTGGGAGTGCGATCCTGGATCGTAGGAAAGAGGTGTGTTAAAACATTTAGCTACACACGCTTGAAAAGCCTTTTTGAAGATCAGATTTTGGGGGAAACTTTTCCACATGTTGTGTTCAATGATACATACAAAATTGTGCACAAAAGCAAATTTACCTAAGTGTTTATGAAGGAAATGATTTTAGAATGAGCCAATGAAACTATTAACACATTTAATCTCTTCTCAAGTTGGGCAAAACGAAGGAATATGGTTATTTGAATATGCATAACTTTAGCTGCATTAGTGAAATGCGTTTACAGTCAAAAACGACGTTTCATCTGAGATGTTTGGCATTCTAATTAAGTACACTATAAAAAATCAAGCAGCTTAACTGCTGCGTTACAAATTTAAAATGAAGTGCAAAGCAAGTTTATTGCACTTTTTGTTCCACTCAATTTAATTACTGATGATGAAAATCGAACTGAAACTTACTAATTACATGGATGGAAACATCGTTTTAACGATGAAGGAAGTCCTACAGTCTTATGTGTTTTTTTTGTGTTAAATATGAAATCGTTCGAATAATCGTTCGCCAAATAAAGTAGATCTGCCGGAGTTTGCGCAGTTCAGAGACGCTTCTCGTCAATACGCGCCGTTTATTTGCGTTATCCGCGACACACGCGTAAAAGGAAGGACATTTTCAACAATATCTCAAACTTTTCACGAACCTGAAGAAATGCCTGTAGTGTGTCGTTCCTCAGCACAGCCACAGCTGCCATGGCAACACTTCCTCGAGTTCCTCAAGCTTCCCGGTTTAAAGCAGCCACATTCACTTCTTCAGAAATACTTGAATAACAGTTAGTGATGGTGGTGGTGGTGATAATGTCTTAGTTGTGTGATTTGGAGGCTGGCAAGAGGAGGAGATCCAATCTTTGAGAAAGTCTGAACATTTTCCAGTTCTCCTCCCTCTGCGCCACCCTGAACCAGTCAAGCCTCCAGTCTCCAGCGCACGTGACACCTCCACAAATATCACAGGAATCAAGGACTAAGCATCGCAAAAGAGTGCTAAAAACCAAAAGTGCTTCAAAGTAGGATGTGTTTAGGAGTTTCGAAGTTTTGCAGGCGGTCATATCAGTGCAGCTTCAAATGTGAGCAGTAGACTAAATAAAACCCACAGAGAGATGTGTCTAATCTATGACTTTTTAAACTGTCCCTTTCCAGCAGTTTGGAGTGGTTGATGTTGAAGCAGATCAGCTCTTTTGATGGGATTAAGGTTTCTCACATAGTAATGTGGGAGGAGGGGGATTCCCACCGGGAGGAGATGCAGTTTTCCTGCAGTCCATAGAGAATTGCAAGAGGGCACAATTCTGTTTATTCTTCTTAACGGTCACCACCAATTATATGGTGTTTAACTATATATATTTATAACCTATATAATATATTTCTGGGTGCCACAGGCTCATACGTTTTTACATTTTTGGCAACCTTAATTTAGGTTATGCAGTGCATGCAAAGAGTTTTAAAAGTAGCCGGCACAGCTGGCAAGATTGGATTGAGAACACCAACACTGTACAAGTGAAACTTCACCCAAACTCAGAACCACACCATTCAAAACCATGCAGCAGATCACTTTCTCTCAAGAGGATGCACACACTTCGTTCTGTGGTCTGTTGCTCATAAACAGCTCAGACAAAACAGAAAAAAAGAAACAAATGAAGCACAGTGAGTCAGCCATTACTCTTCTAATCATGTTGTTTGGCAACATATTATTTTAAATATTAACAGTTCAACAGGCTGCCATGGCGAGTCATTATATGTGCAACCACAGTATGCATTTTTCCATTTTATTTTACAAGAAAACTGATAAATAGCACATTTGTCTTTCGTAATAAATACATACATCCAAATACTGAGAAAATAATGCATACATAAATAATTACCCCTCATTATTTTATATATACAGCACATTTCGTAGCAAAAGGCTGGAGAAGGCACTCTGTAAAAAAAAGAAAAAAAAAGAGGGTGATTAGTTTTCAGCGGTTACATAAAACATAAATGCACAAATTTAACAGTGTAAGTGTAAAAAATAATGCAGACGTAGATGTAATGCAATGCAATACAATGATTTTTGAGAGATGAACAAATAATGTTCCTCAAAAGCCTGTTGCATCATATTTGATACATTTTAACATGATTTTTCTAAAAATAATGCATGGATAATCAAATAATAAGCCTAAGCAACTTCAGTCCAGTAAGTGTTCATCTTGAAATATTACTAACAATTAAAAGTAATTTTTTTACATTACCTTTCTAAAAATCAGTGATAATTTCACAGTAAAAAGACACGTGAACCACGAGCTGAAGGGGGACGGTTTTACACTTTAAATGGACTTTTACTTGCTGAAAAAGTTTGAAAAAATCAATCAGACGACTGAAGGCATGCAGTAGATTGTGTAAACAGAGTTGAGAATTTAGATGCCAAAAAACAGTAGGATTTATAGGGTTAATGGAAGAGCTTAATCAAATCACATGCAAATGTTGTAAAGTATCAGTCTAATCTGCAAGAGTTTGGTGGTGATGCACAACTTAAATGGATGTCTTTTGACAGGATCACAGCATTGTCTGTGAGTTTTGTGAGTAGAGTGAGTTTCTTGATTTTTTAAGGCTTCTTTCGGACAGGTCAGAGTCGAACTTTTCATGTTCTCTGGACAGACAGAAGAAGAAAATAAAGCAAAAAGTCTGAAAAAAGAAAAAAGGGGTTCCACATCTGTCTCGCACACAAGAGCAGGAGAGATGGAAAGGCAGAGAAATGCTCGGGGCTACTGGGTACGAGAGCCTCAGTAATGGTGTCTCGTATGAGAAAACATCTTTGAATTTCCTCAGTGATCTACAACAAAGTCCAACTCAGAGCAGTCACTCAGCGGCCCTTTGAAGTCTCTCCCTGACAGAAAGCTGCCATTGTGTTCTGCCCTCGACGCTGTGTAGCCTGACTCTGCTCTTGCTAATTTCCAGCATTTTCCCCTGAAATCTGATCCTGTTGCCTGTGCTCAGGCTGGAGCGGTGTGCTGACGGGCCTCGGGTCAGGAGATGAGGGAGAGGTCGGCCCTTAAACACCCGCTTGCCGCTGTGTGTGGCATCGCAGCTCTGACCCGCTCTGTTCCCGCCGGCCCGGGGTAATTGTTGGGGTCACGTCTGGCTTCCTCGAGCGTGATCAGAGGTTTGGGATTATACGGAGGGGCCAGAACATCTAGTTTATGGATTTTTGCTAATTTTAGAATCGGTCGGATGGGGTTTGAAGCCCTGTGCAGATTTGTCCTTGGGACAATTGAGGCTTTCTTCGCTGCTGAATTAATCTAACGTTTAAGAGAACAGAAAGTGAGATAATTAACATTTAGATTTCACTAGAAACTCATATCAACAAACTTTGTTTTGTGCGCAAATCAATATTAAAGGGATAGTTCACCCAAAAATGAAAATTCATAATTTACTCACCCTCATGTTGTTCCAAACCTGTATGAGTTTCTTCTGCTGAACACACAATATTTTGAAGAACGTTGATAACCAAACAGTTTCTGGTCCCCATTGACTTCCATAGTATATTTTTTTCCATACTATGGAAGTCAATGGCCACCAGCAACTGTTTGGTTACCAACATTGTTCAAAATATCTTTTTTTGTGTTCAGTAGAAGAAAGAAACTCATACAGGTTTGGAACGACATGAGGGTGAGTAAATGATGACAGAATTTAAATTTTTGGGTGATCTATCCCTTTAAACAATAGCAGTCCAACTGGAATTTGAAATCTTGTTCAAACCATTGAAAGATGGAAAACAGAGCTGCAAAACCATTCAGCTTTTAAGAAACTTCAGAAAGTTCTCAGCTGTACTTAAGTGTCAACTTGATCTCAAATGTTTCTCCTGTGTGCTCCTATATGCAAATCTGTGAAATGCGTATAGAATCAATGAGTCAATAGTGACTTAAATGCAATTATAGAGATATAAAGTACCTGTTGATAGCAGCTCAGATTATTAGGCTTTAAAAGGATTTGATGAGTTCACATTAAAATTAATTTGCAAACAAAGTATCTTGCCAAATCTGATTACAATTTGAGAAATAACTGAGATCTCTTCTGAAACTTTAAAGTAGACCTGAGAGAACACTGGGGTATTTTTCTCAGAATGAAAATAGGTGAATCAGGAGCAACAGACTTTATTTCATTTAACCTGTGTTTGAATCACAGACAAAACTGAGATATTAAATATTTAGTTTGGCATTTTAGTGATTATATTAAATCCCATTAGTCATCCTACTCAGGGTCAATAATTAAAACTAAGCCTAAAACCACGAAAAAGTTTAATTACTTGAAATAAATATTAACTGAAATAAAATATAACAAAAAAAACGTAAACTTATTTTATGTCAGGAAACAGTTCTCATTTTCGCGCATTTAATTTGATGTACTAAAATAACTAAATAAATTAAAAAAAGAAAAGAAATATATAGACAGAAAAACTAATAAACTGACAAAAACACAGCAAAATTCATGAAACACAACAAAATTACTAAAGTAACTACAACAAAAAATATGAATAAAACTAGTATCAATGACACTAAAATAAAATTTAATTTTTTATGATGGCAGAGCTCATTCTGTAGCGCTTAGTGTAGAGAAGCTAATGTTTCAAGCTGAATTAGGTAAATTACTTTCCATAATCGTTCTGAGTGTATGATTACGATGAGCTGTAAGAAACCGTCTGAACTGAGACAGTCTCTTTCCATGGCTTGTCCTGACTGTAAGGGACTGATTTGTTGTTTTGCCTCCTGAATGTAAACAGGTCCTGGCCACTTCTCTCAGCGCTCGCCCGGCTTGCGTTTACTCAGTGGCAGCTGCGAGCACCATCTGGGAGGGCTTGAGCAAGGCCAAACAAAACAGGTTACACCTTCGGCCATGCCAAGTCCTGTAGCCTATTCCTGGTCTGCACAAACAACAGGGGCTAATCGCAATTTCATGCTCTGATTTCCCCCAGACCTCTATCCAAGCCCCACAGGAAAAGAAACTTTAGCTCCTTTTTAGGAGATATGGGCTACATGCGCTTCCATATGGCCGTGCTCATGCAGGATAGTGCTCAGCTCAGACCTCATGATTACAGAATCCAGCATTTTCATGCTCAAAGTTGTTTCTTCAACTACGGGCACTTTTGGAAAGATAAACTCCCTTAAAACAAGCCCTAATGGCATCCAGCATCATTAGCAAGTCTTTGATGTGCGTACTCCACTCACTCTTTTATCTCCTTCTCCCCCTCTCAGCCCTTCTCTACATACATCTTACGCTACCCCGCTCTCTCCTTCTGTCTTTCTCCTCTAACCCGCTCTCTTTCCGCGGTTCTTCATTAAATCGGTCTTTAGGGAGGGCGCCCACTCCTGTACCCGACATCTGTTTGGCTCTCATGCCTGTCTGTCTGTCACACATCAGTCAGCGTAAAAGCAGCTAATCTGCAAATATCCTAAAGTACCTGTTTATTCTGAGAGGCAGCGAGCAAAGATGGCAAAATAAAGTGTTTACTTTCAATCCCAGTCTTATTATCCTGGCGTGATTACGAGATGCGGCTCGCAGGAAGCGTTTACTAGCAAACGAACATATACGCAGGAGTGTGTGTGTGTTCTTGTGTATCAATGGCAGGTTACCTGCTTTACATCCCAGCAGGTTTGAAAGAGAGGCTTTGGAAACACTGCTATTCAAAACTCCTCCTTTGAACTCTAGAGGATATAGAGACAGGACAATGCCAGTCTATTTGTGTTCCCCCTTTGAAGTCCACCCTGTCTATTAGTATGAGAGAGTGTGCTGTCTGACAATAAATACTGCTCTATCTAAAGATTACGGCTGCAAAATATCTGAAAGGTGCCACATTGCTCCGCATACTTGGAAAAGAAAACACACGCTCTAGAACAAACAGTTAAAACCGAGGGGAAAAACTCTTCGGCGTTGTGTGCCGACCACATTAAAAGAGATCGTCGGGCGCTCCAGATGCAGAGGGTGCTTTAATGAGCGCAAAGAATAGGCCGCGCTGGTTTTATGGAGAGTTATTGAGATATTAAAGAGCACAGGTGCAGGGCCAGCATTGTTTACCGGAGCAGACACAAGTTTAGGGATCATCGGTAGCTTTAGCTTGTCAATAAAAGCATTGTGTTTGACAGTTCCACAGCTCTGTTTAATTCTCAACCTGCTTCTGATTATTAAACGTCACGTCACTCAGAGTTTCTTCGGTCTGATGTTGTCTCGGTTCACCAAGGATGCCCGCTGAAGAACAGTCTCCACCGTGAAGGCGAACTTCAGAGGCAAGCACAAAAACTAGAGAGCTTGTTCAAAATTGATTTCCATGGCAAAATAGGGCCAAAATAATCTAGGGAACAAGATCTTTCTTAATGGATTCGATGTTCTTTAAAGAGGCACTCGCGGGTGTTAGAGTGACCTATTTCAGCCGGCGCTTTTCAGAGGAACTAAATATTCTCAGACGGGGAATAATGCTCGCAGAATATCCTCATTACAGCCTCATCCAAGCGCAAGAAAACTGGACAAAATGCACACACTGACACACTCACGCTATAGCCAAACGTGTTATAAACAGAACTTTGTGATGGACATTTATCTACATTGCCTCTGTCTGCAGGCATAGGAATTACTGTGTATTTGTAATAACGCATTAATTCATTTTGTTAATCGTACATTTAAAGTCACATGTACTTTGTAACAAACAAGAAATAAAGGTAACACTTTAGCATAGGGATCAATTCTCACTATTAACTAGTTGCTTATTAGCATGCCTGTTATTACCATATTGGCTGTTTAGAGATGATCATCTCCCCTGTGCGCCTCAGCACGCTAAAAGAGCTTTTTCCCTAAAAGAGCATTTACGGGTGCATCTACGGGTGGGTCTTGCTATAGACAACGTATCACGTGGGCGTTTCTGGATGCGGTCGTTACCTGGTGCTGGGTGAT